AGCTTGGGCACACATTTTACATGGATAACTTGAGAGTACTTGCATCATCAAAATCACAGATGGAACAAGTACACACAAATGTATGTGAGTCGTTCAGTGCAATGGCGATGGAAATTAATGCTGCAAAGTATGGTGTTGATGCTCTTGGCAATATTAGAATCCCAACAAATATGCAAGATATTCCCATTGTAAGTGTGAACAATCCTTACAAATATCTGGGTGTTGAAATTGACCAAAAGGTAGACACAAACGCATATTGTATCAGAATTATCAAGGGGATTGAAGAGTGCATGGACAAGATAGTGCAAAGGAATTTAAGTGCTGTGAACTTCATCCGTACCATAAATGCCGACATTATTGCGAAGTTTAGGTATGGCTACAGCGTTGTGTTGTGGAAATTAGGTCAGTTGGATATGTTAGACCTCAAAATACGAAAGTTCCTTACAAAGCACAAATTGAATGGTAGAAACTTGACAAAATACCGATTGTATGTCAACCAACTTGACATGGGGTATGGTCTCAGAAGTTGCAGAGATGAATGTGGCAAAGAACTGATCCGCGTGTTTCTGAAATACGTTTGGCACAGTGATTCCAACATTGCTGATTTGCTCAAACACACGCGTGATGCACCAGACAATTTGATGAAAAGAGCGGTCAATTGTCTCAAAAAGAAAATCACACAAACAGAGCTTGAAGAGTACATTGAAAACGAAGTTACAAAAGATAAGGCAATTATCACAGTTCTCGAGCATGTGAGTCAAAAAAATCAATGACTACTACATTCCTTGTAATTTGATCAATAAACTTAAACTTATTTTGAAGAAACGTGACACGTGTGATACAGTTTACATGTAACCATATTTAAATTTATTTGTTAAATAATCAATTGTTTAATTAACATCATTTTTATCATACATAATACGTATAGGTATTTGTTACTAAATATAAAACAACATTTAAACAGTTTTCAAAGGCGTTATATTTGTATGTCAAACTATATTGTTAAAGATAAATCATGTTTGTTTTTCAATAAACAATTTAATTTCTGATTATTCACAAATTCATTTAGAATTTTTCTAGATTTGTTTATTAACATTAATAACAAAAAAATAACATACATCTTA